CACACACACGCACACACACACACACAGGCTCACAGCGGCATTGCAACGTCACATGGCACCAGCTAATGTCATAGAGTGCCTTTTTACCTGAAGAAGGGGCAAGTTTTAGGCAGAATGTTTCAATTTTAACTAAGATTTTTAACTAAAATTATTGACTACATGTGTCTACAGCATGATAAGACATTCATTCATATAGTTTATCAGCCAAGAAAAGTTGATTTGGGGGTGACTTGCTCTTTAACTTGTGAAAAAGAAATATGATATCTTCTTTTATGTTTGTTTGCCTTGAATCTTTAATGATCAACAACTTTTAAAGTGGGATTCTGAAGAAATGTTATGGACAATCAACAGCTTGGTGGAAAAACATATCCTAACTAATATAAAGCATAAGTAAATGCTGCTGTCGTGTTTCTGGGCAAGACCCACCTCGCATGCTGGTGGTCGGAGGGACCAGTGTGCCTCAGGGCAGCTGTGGGTATGTTGTGGCTCATCATCACCAGTGTGTGAATGAGTGTGTGAATGGGTGGATGACTGATTGTGTTGTAAAGTGCCTTGGGGGGTTGCAGAACCCTAAAAAGCTGCTAAACAAATACAGGTAATTTATCCTGCTAAATACATAAACATCCTTACAGGTTATGCAAATACTAATTCGTAACTTTAAAGGTGTAGAACACTGAAAAACATTTTTAATTAGGGCTGCACGGTATTAGGAAAACCTGCGATATTCGATAACAGTGCTTAATATTGCAATATCGATATTACTCGCGATAAATGAACAAATACTAAAGCATGCAGTGTTGATGTCGTCTGGCGTGTGACGTCTGCTCTGGGTTCAAAGCAAACAAAACCTAATGCATGAATTCCATTACAACATAACATTTTAATTGCAAAAATATGCAGCTGCACCTGCTACTGTATTAGCAGCTGCACCCGCTACTGTATTAGCAGCTGCACCCGCTACTGTATTAGCAGCAGCACCTGCTACTGTATTAGCAGCAGCACCTGCTACTGTATTAGCAGCTGCATCCGCTACTGTATTAGCAGCAGCACCTGCTACTGTATTAGCAGCTGCACCTGCTGCTGTATTAGCAGCTGCACCTGCTACTGTATTAGCAGCTGCACCTGCTACTGTATTAGCAGCAGCACCTGCTACTGTATTAGCAGCTGCACCTGCTACTGTATTAGCAGCTGCATCCGCTACTGTATTAGCAGCTGCACCTGCTACTGTATTAGCAGCTGCATCCGCTCCTGTATTAGCAGCTGCACCTGCTACTGTATTAGCAGCTGCACCTGCTACTGTATTAGCAGCTGCACCCGCTACTGTATTAGCAGCTGCACCTGCTACTGTATTAGCAGCTGCACCCGCTACTGTATTAGCAGCTGCACCCGCTACTGTATTAGCAGCTGCACCCGCTACTGTATTAGCAGCTGCACCCGCTACTGTATTAGCAGCTGCACCCGCTACTGTATTAGCAGCTGCACCCGCTACTGTATTAGCAGCTGCACCCGCTGCTGTATTAGCAGCTGCACCCGCTGCTGTATTAGCAGCTGCACCCGCTACTGTATTAGCAGCTGCACCCGCTACTGTATTAGCAGCTGCACCCGCTACTGTATTAGCAGCTGCACCCGCTACTGTATTAGCAGCTGCACCCGCTACTGTATTAGCAGCTGCACCCGCTACTGTATTAGCAGCTGCACCCGCTACTGTATTAGCAGCTGCACCCGCTACTGTATTAGCAGCTGCACCCGCTACTGTATTAGCAGCTGCACCCGCTGCTGTATTAGCAGCTGCACCCGCTACTGTATTAGCAGCTGCACCCGCTGCTGTATTAGCAGCTGCACCCGCTACTGTATTAGCAGCTGCACCCGCTACTGTATTAGCAGCTGCACCCGCTACTGTATTAGCAGCTGCACCCGCTACTGTATTAGCAGCTGCACCCGCTACTGTATTAGCAGCTGCACCCGCTACTGTATTAGCAGCTGCACCTGCTACTGTATTAGCAGCAAAACAACAAACTGCATGCATGCAGTTTCTCAGTGACTTTAAAACATCACCTCCACCATAAAACTTTTTCTGATGCTCCAAATACAGAAAAACATCCCTTACCAGGGTTTTTGAATAAATAAAAATATCTGAAAATAAGTTTAAATGTTAAATAATAGTTAACATCACTTAAAGGCAACAGCAAATTCTCTCATTGCTACTGAGCATTTTCTCCACTTATGTGGTTATGATATAAGGCTGTTGCTGTAACTGGGAAGTGAACTGTGCTGGGCCAAACTAGGAGAATATTAAGATTTTCTGAGGGAAAGAGAAAAACAATTGTCTACCTTTCAGAAGAGGAACTGGCAAAAAAAAAACTACATGGAAAATATGTGAAAACGTTTGTTTTTAACCCCAAATTGAACAAGTTTACCTAGATCTTAAAAAGCAGCTCAGATGATGAAACTGAAACTATGATTCTGATAACAAGCTAACAAATTGAACTAGCTCCTCTAAGATAAGCGGCTAGCAGAGCTTCTGACTGACAGTTTATGTGCAGCAGCAAATCAACTCTCCTGATTAACAAGGTTATAAAAGCTCATAAATGAAAAATCACTTTGATGTGTGGGGGAACTTTTCCAGGCCCTCTTTAGCAGGGTGGGACTGGGAGGAGAGTGCTGTAGCCTTTTAGCTGGAAGCTAACCGGAGCCTGGGGCTAACACTAGCGACATGAAGGCGGGGTGGTTCACCAACACGTGTCGGAGTCAGCCCGGTTACTATCAGCTGCTTAACGACACCGAGCGGACTCACGTTCACGTTTGAAAGCAGCGCTGATTCCAGAAACCTCAGCACAAAGTGCGTTCGTTAATCTGAGCCAGCATGACGAACACGGGAAGCGAGCGGCAGCGGAAAGCGGGGGCGGAGCGGAGATGGTGGAATTTTGGGGTAAGGGTCTACGTAGGGGGCGGGCGTATTACGTGAACGGACCCATCTGATTGGCCGCATATCAGAAGGGCTACATTTGATTGGTCAAATAATACTTCCGCGTAAAAAACAGAGTTGGTTTACAAAAAGGTGATGTATGACACGGATGGAAATGTTTGAACCAAACATTTATCGCCGTTTTTGACGTGCTTTGCGATGGGCCTATCACACGTCCTGTTATCGCGATGACGATAATTTTTTGATATATTGTGCAGCCCTATTTTCAATTAATATTTCTGACTTAAATCAGTTACTCCGAGTTTTTCATGCAGGCTGAGCATGTCTACTACACCTATCTCCTGCATTAGCTTCTGAAATAGACGGTCAAACTCTAGAATTTGAAAAGCCTGACAGATCTATGTTACACTGTCACTTAACTCAATCACTGCCAGCCGTTTCCTGATCGCTAACGGCCTTCGCTGCCAGCGTTTCTCACCGTTTTTACTGTGTTTTAAAGAGTCACAGAACATTGAGCGCTAGCATGATGTCGACGCCAAAACAACCAAAACAAAGCGGAGACTCACCTCTTACATCAGGAAGAATCCGTGTGTTTCGAGCGTTATCCATTCTTTCATAATCCGTTGTCGAATTGTGATCGGCAGACGCTTTTCCGGTTCGCGCCTGACTTTTTTTTTTACAGGAACGGTCCAAAACGATTTCCTAATACATGGATGGTCTGCTTCCTGATCATGCAACGTGTGACGTATGCGGATGAAGATCGGCTTCAGGGCTGAGATGTTTGTTCTCTCAGCGCGGGGGCTCGTTCTGATGCTCAAACAGTAAAAAAATGCAAATGACGTCATTGGCAGTGAACGGTTGGATCTAAAATGACGACTTAAGTCGTCAATGGCAATGTATTGATTAAATGAGTGTTCCACATCTTTATCTCTGACTTAAACTTCATATTCCATGGTTACCTACACAAACTAACAATGAGAGTACAACCAGGAGTGTTGCAGTAACTGCAAATAACCACAGAATTCTGTTTAAGTAGCCATGTAACCATGACGGAGCAGAAGCTTTTAGGATTACGTTTGCATGAAAATGTTACACCATGTACCAACTGATACAGGTACTGGAACTATAATGTGGTTATTTAAGGCTGAGGGCATTTACTCTATGCTTCTGAATTATGTTCATCTAAAACTGATATTTTTGCATCTAATAATAAAGTATATGTTAGTTTGTAGAACCAATCAGAAGTCTGGATTTGACTGTTTGTTCAGAACTAAACCTGTTCTGCTCCAGATCCCGAAACTTATTCAGAAAAAACTCAGATGTTTCTCCACAAACACAGCAAAGTGTTTAAAATGACACAACAATCTATTTTTACACACAAACTCAGACAAGAGACCTAAATTATGAAATGTAAAAAGCTTTCTGCAGAAAAAAAGTTCACTTGTCCAGAAAAAAAACTTACAGATGCTAAAAGCATAGAGAAAAATAAAATAATAAACTATTCTCTTCCTCTGACCCACAATGGTTGCAAATATAAATATATTACAATAAAAATAAATGTGAAAAAATAAAATGGTATTAGTGTGAAAACATCTTTGCTTCGAGCTGGCAGAAATGTGAGCTGGGTAACAAGTTAGGCAGCTTGATGAACGGGCCGGCCTATGTAAGAGAACGTTTTTGTGATTAACATGGTCAACAGGTTTAAGAATGATAAAAATATTAACTGTGACAAGATTTGTTGTCTCAGATGTTTTGGTGAATTCCAGAATATTCAGAGGAAGGATCAGATCAATCCCATCAATGCAAAGTTCCCCTCTGTCATTCAACATCAACTTCATCAAAAGTTACTTAATAAAAAATGATGGCCTCACAACAACCATGAATAAATAATGGCACCTAAACATCCTCCAAGAGGAACTCCTTGCAGCCATCAAGAACATTTTGCTGAAGAAGAACAGATTTTCCTAGGCATTTAGAAAACCTTAAAACTAACTGGTGTCATTTTTTGTGTCAGCAATTTTTAATATATGAAGTTAAGCTAAATAACAGAATGAGATAAAAAACTGCTTTTTACCAAAATAGTCCTCAGATGGAGGGTTGTCCATGTCAAACAGCATCTTCTTCGTTAGGCGTTCTAGCTCGTCTTCTGGATGAGCCACAGGAGTGCTCGCCTGGAAAGCAGACAAAATAAAATCAAGGTGCTGAGGGCTGCAAACGGTCAACAATAAGCATTTAACGTAAAGCTTTGTAAAGAAAGAAAACAAATGCATTTTAATGTTATTGATGATAGAGTTTCTGGAGGTCAAACAGAACCTGCTCAGAGTAATTAACATGCTGTGTCTGGCCCTCAGTCTATGTTCCCCTCTGGTATACCTGACCCTGGTTATGCCAAGCCCGGAAGGTTTTCTTATAGTCAGTAAAAAAAACAAAAATAATACAGAATTAAAAAACAAACAGTGACCCCGGCTACTCTTGGGTGGGACAAAAGTTGACAGCTAAAGCAAAAAAATAAATAAATAAATAAAGTCACCCATCAGAAGAAATCTTTTATAGTGTGTTGTGTAGGTGAAAGGTCAGGAGATGGTTATTTAGACGTTTTCCAAGCACAATCAATCAATCAAAGCTTTATTTATAAAGCGCCTTCCGCAACCCTGTCAGGAAGCCCAAAGCGCTGAACATGGTACAGTTGTAGGTAATTATATTGAATAAATCAACAATAAAAGCAATTCAAATTACAAAATACAAATTACAAGATAGATGAAACATTCTGGTACAGGACAAATGTGTGAAACACAATTGGATTGAGTGGATGGATTGAGTGAACCAATGAAAACTGTGAAATAAATTCAACATAAAAGAGGGCAAAAATCAAACATGTTCAGGAAACGCCAAGCGGAGGAGGTGTGATTTTAGGTGATTCTTAAAGACTGGCAGAGATGGGGACAGCCTAACTGAGGGTGGCAACTGGTTCCAGAGTAACGGTGCTAGGACTGAGAAAGCCCGGTCCCCACGAGTACGACACCTAGAACGAGGGACAGCGAGCAGGCCTTGGTCAGAGGAGCGCAGAGCGCGTGATGGGGAATGTCTGTTCAGGAGAGTGGCCAGATAGGGGGGAGCACCACCCTGGAAGAAATGATAAACAAAGACGAGGATTTTGAATTGTGAGCGATAGCAAACCGGAAGCCAGTGCAGGGAGGTCAGAACCGGACTGATGTGGTCCCGTTTCCTGGTCCCAGTCAGGAACCTGGCTGCGCTGTTCTGCACAACCTGTAGGCGACGCAGTGATGACTGACACAACCCTGCATAGAGAGAGCTGCAGTAGTCAAGCCTAGAAATTACAAAGGCATGCAGTACCCGCTCCAGGTGGGCTCTCGACAGCACAAAGGGGAGCTGAACATGAGCTCTGTACCGGGGTGAGGAAGGGATGACCCAACGCTCTAAAGATGTCTCTTGTTGGGGTCATTCAAAGCGGCCCATCTATTTTTATTATCATGCAGACATCTGTATTCGGCATTGTGCTGCTCCTGACATTTTCTGTCATTCCCCCTCTGAGCCTGACAATCCTCTTCTCCTCCATCACAGGTGCCTGTTTGTCCTCTTTGTCCCCATGGCCGGTACTTGATTCTCCATGAGCCTTTTCGGAAACGGAGACACACTGATGGCTTTCCCCAGATCTTGGATTGGCCAGATCTTTAGAGTAGGTTTGATTTTCAATATCCCAACATGGTCTGAAATCTGAGCTGACCTTTTAGGAGCTCCTAATGATGACATCTGGGACCAGGGTGGATGTTTGAAAACTGTTTATGTACACATTTATTCATGGTTTCATGTGTCACATGAAGGAATCTACAACGTCAATGACGGGTTTAATTAAAACATACTTCTGGATTCAGAATGTAAGAGTCATTATCCTGGTATTATTGAACGTGTATTATTTGTTTGCATTTAATCTTTTGATGCCCCACTTGGCTATAATGAGGGCTCAACTGAACCCTGTGTTTGTCATTAAAGTTTACGCACCCAGTAATCAGATATTTGCTTATAAGAGTGTTGTTTTTAGAGTCAAAATGTCAAAAACTATTTAAAAGCTTTTGTGTTTTTATCTAGTGAGAATGTAGCAAAGTGCAGGTTGCAGTAGCTGAGGTTCTTTGAATAACAGGATGCGTGATTAAAATGGTGAAGGTCAGTTTTGTAATTAACAGTTTGACTTAACATTGGATGGGATATTTCACTGCTTTATTGCCAAAGCAACACGATAATACTGCATGTCAACAGTACTACAAAGGTTACACATTTACCGCTTTTTTAGACTGAAGGATTTAAAAAAAAAAAAAAAAAAGGCAAAAAATTTAAATTCAGTAGGACCCAATTCACAAAAAGGTGGTTGTTTGGCCTTTGCAGATACAAACTACAGTTTTGCTTCTTCATCCTACATAGAGTCCTTGCAAATGGACATTTGCACCTCATTCTGCAACGTCAAACATTTTCTCTTTGCTTGTGCAGTTTGTTCACATTTAAATGAGGTGTTTTGTATGCATTTGAAGGCCTCATTCACTAACAAAAAACATGTAATACTTGCCGTTTTGAAATATGATCAGTCACTGAGTTGCAAATGCATACTTCACGTGAAAATGTACTTTAACTCCTATCGCCTGCATTAGAGTTCAGATTTTATTTATTGGCCAAGTAAAATTACATTTATAAGGAATTTGGCTTCGGTAGATGTTCGCTCTCTAAAACATACAACAACCACAATAAATGAGAATAAAAATACCTAAAAACACACACGAACATGTATACCCACACACATGTTCATTTACACACACACATATATACACACACACATATATACATACACACACACACACACACACACATATATACATACACACACACACACACACACACACACATATATACATATATACACACACACATATATACATACACACACACACACACACACACACACATATATATACATATATACACACACACATATATACATATATACATACACACACACACACACACACACATATCCATAAGCATACTGACTAAGTATAAAACTATAGTAAAATGAAGGTAAGAATCTACAGACTCAGGAGAGAAATGGCTGAAGGAAAGAAACTGTTCTTGTGTCTGGTAGTTTTTGTGTACAGTGATCTATCGCGTCTGCCAGATGGGAGGAGATGGAAGAGAGTAGATGCAGGATGTGTGGCATCTTGGACAATATTCCCTGCCTTTTTCCTGCTCCTGCTGATGTACAGTTCCTGGACAGAGGGCAGTTGGGCACCAATGATTTTTCCTGCTGTTTTAATAATACGCTGTAGTCTGCATTTGTCCATTTTTGTGGCTGACCCAAACCAGACAGTGATGGATGAGCAAAGTATGGATTCGACTGCAGCAGTGTAGAAGATGATCAGCACAGGGTATCTGCAGGTTTAAGGGAGCCAAATTTAAGACTTTTTAAGACCTTTTTTAAGGCCACTTTGACCAAATTTAAGCTATAATTCCCAGCTGTTGCCTGGAACCGGTGCTAACCACGTCGCAAACGTGGAATTAGCCATCCAGTTACCATTAAACTTGCACTTCCCCATGGCGCAAGCGCCCACTAGCTTAACCAGCTAATGTTCTCATCTAAAAACAGCCCCCTTTCACAACCAACTGAATGTGTACGGTTCCGCTTACGCCAACATCGTACACAAAAAATGCTGAACACTAACTAGAAATTCATAAAAATTTTATAGAAATAAAATAATCTTGTTTATTGGGTCTTTTGTCATTTAAGACCTTTGGAAACTGTATTCAAGGATTATTTGTCATTTTTAAGGATTTTTAAGACCTTAAATTTGGAAAAGCAAATTTAAGACTTTTTAAGACTTTTTAAGGACCCGCGGATAGCCTGCAGCAGCTCTTGTGGTAGGCCGTACTTCCTTAGTTGCCGTAAGAAATACATCCTCTGCTGAGCCTTTTTGAGGATGGAGTTGATGTTTGTCTCCCACTTCAGATCCCTGGAAATGATAGTTCCCAAGAACTTGAATGAGTCCACCATTGACACTGGGCTGTTGGATATTGTGAGGGGGGACAGCACTGTGGGAAGATTCCTAAAATCCACGACTATCTCCACAGTCTTAAGGGTGTTAAGCTCAAGATTGTGCTGACTACACCAGACCACCAGCCTCTCAACTTCTCGCTGATAAGCAGACTCATCACCATCCTGGATGAGCCCAATGACAGTGGTGTCATCTGCAAATTTCAGGATTTTTACAGCTGAGTCCTTAGCTACAGAAAGGTAAAAGGTAAGATTTATTTTGGTCGGGCAGTGTCAGAACAGGTATGTTAGGACAATTCCAACTAATTTCTCTTCTAGTCACGATTGTTAGGGCCCCTGCCGGACAAGCCCACATGTACAGTCAGGTCCATAAATATCGGGACATCGACACAATGCAAACATTTTTGGCTCTATACACCACAACAATGGATATCAAATGAAACGAACAAGTTGTGCTTTAACTGCAGACTGTCAGCTTTTATTTGAGGGAATTTACATCCAAATGCGGTGAACGGTGTAGGAATTACAACAGTTTGCATGTGTGCCTCCCACTTGTTAAGGGGCCAAAAGTAATGGGACTATTGGCTTCTCAGCTGTTCCATGGCCAGGTGTGTGTTATTCCCTCATTATCCCAATTACAATGAGCAGATAAAAGGTCCAGAGTTCATTTCAAGTGTGCTATTTGCATTTGGAATCTGTTGCTGTCAACTGTCAAGATGAGACCCAAAGAGCTGTCACTATCAGTGAAGCAAGCCATCATTAGGCTGAAAAAACAAAAGAAACCTATCAGAGAGACAGCAAAAACATTAGGCGTGGCCTAAACAACTGTTTGGGACATTCTCAAAAAGAAGGAACGCACCGGTGAGCTCAGCAACACCAAAAGACCCGGAAGACCACGGAAAACATCTGTGGTGCATGACAGAAGCATCCTTTCCCTGGTGAAGAAAACACCCTTCACAACAGTTGGCCAGATCAAGAACACTCTCCAGGAGGTAGGTGTGTCTGTGTCAAAGTCAACAATCAGGAGAAGACTCCACCAGCGTGAATACAGAGGGTTCACCACAAGATGTAAACCATTGGTGAGCCCCAAAAACAGGAAGGCCAGATTAGAGTTTG